ATATATATATATATATATATATATATATACACACACACACACACACACACACACACACACACATAATGTATAAAGGAACAAGTGATAGCTGTGGTTTACCATATGTAAAAGAAGTACCATACTTTGCAATTAATGATGTAGGCTATTTAATTAAGCCATATGTTGTAAGAAATGTTTTGCTTTAGGTGCCAGAGGACTTATTGGACACTTCGACAACTCCACTATTTCTACTTCCCAATTCTTCAAAAGTTAATCTGAAGGTGATCTTATGCTTATGTTTCCTTCAAAGGCCTCAGAACACGGAGGGAAAAATCATTGGCTAAATTCAAGTTGCCATCAATCCGGGAGTAAAAAAAAATTGTCCATTTCTACAATGCACAAGAACATTTGTAAAAATGGCTTGTACTCCACTAGCACATCCAAGGTATATTTCTTTGGTAACATACTAAATAAGTCACTAATTAAAGGGCTTTTTTATGGAGAGTTAAAATGGTGTTAAGTCATTTTTATTGTTGGAAAGCAAGAGGAAGAAACCAGGAAGAAGGGTGAGGAAAAGTCATATAGATAGAATGAGCATTCACAACCAGTCTTAGATATTAGGAGTTAAGTTTGCTTTTGTTATTGAATACATTTTTATTGGTCACTTGAAAGAAAGTTTCTGTCTATCTGCCAGAGTACTCATAAGGACCACGGAGATGCAGTGTTTCAACAAAGACCCATCACTGGTGTTTCAAAAATACCAAGGTTGGGAAACAAATTAGGTCAGCTCTTGTCTACAGCTACTTTGAATTAAATGTCATCAAAACTCATATAAATCACAAAAACATACACCAAACTTGAACACTGTTTGCTACATTTTGCTTTCTTTGGTATTTTACTACTTATTTGACTAATGCATCCGTTATTTAAGTTTCTTCAAATATTAGCAATCCATAAAAACAATTGTAACACTAAAATGGATTACTAAATAATAAAAGAGCTTCTACATTAGCAGAATGCAAGAGCCTGTTTTTTTTTTTCCTATCAGACTTTTTTTTTTTTTTTTAAAAACTTACCTTACTTTCCAGGCCAAGAAAATGAAAATGCGAAAACAAAATGTCTTGATTCCACTGCCTTTTATTTCTTTCAAATGGTTTATACATATTTCTTATTCATTCTGTATTTTTTCTCAAGTCTCTGTTTGCTGTCTCCAAGCCTATTTCCCTTCCCTGCCTCATCATCTCCTGTTCTTACAAATCTCTCTCTCTCTCTCCCTCCCTCCCCCTCTCTCAATCTTGACTCCTTTGTCGGCAGCATTTTAAAAATCCACCTAAAATACGTTCAATTCTCTTCCCATCCAACAATTTGACTTGGGATTCAACAGGTGCCTCTACAGCAACAAATGAGACACAAGCAGCACTTGTTGGATTTCTGGCTCATATCACAATACATATAAAGGCACAAGAGGACCAAGGGATAAAGGCAGTGGCGCTTGTGGTGATGGGCTCGGTTGTCCTCCCTTTTCGATTGCTTATTAACGATGTGCCAAATTAAGGAACGGGGAGGTCGAGAGCCGGCTTTTTCCTCCCACTCCCTGCCCTACAAATTCCTCCTGGGACGATGGAGGAAAGCGGTTTGCCTCTTTTCCTCTCGGGTGTTTTTCACTCTCGGGCGTGAGGGCGGTAGACCCAGTTCTTCCCTGCCCGCCGCCTACCTCTTTCCCCTCTTTCTTGGCCAGGTAGGGGGTAGGACTTGGAGTCCGGCCAAGGCAGAGGCTTTAAAGAAGCCGACCTCCATCGCCTCGGTCCCTTTGCACCACAGCACCTGCCCCATATAGGACGGCCGAGAGCAGCAGCAAGGGCGGCCCAAATGGGTACGTACGGGGAAAGGAAAGCGGGCTGGCGCACCGGCCGGATCCGAGGGTCATCGCGCGGGTCTCCCAAAGGAGCCAAGTCTCCCGGCCTCGACGATCAAATGGAGCGGCAGCCTGCCGGTTGTTTCCCCTCACTCAGCCGTCCCCCACCCACGTTACTTAGTCCGGTCGAGAGGCGTCTCTTCGCGTTTAAGGCGCCTTGGGAGCACTTCTGCGCCCTTAGGCTGCAATTGCGCTTTCTCCGGTTCTCTGGCGGGGAAGCCCCACAGAAAGTTTACTTCTGAGGAGACAGCTGTGGGGTTGAAGAAGCCAGGCGGTTCCCTAGATCTTTTTTTTTTTTTTTTAAAGCTCCCTCACGAGAGGAGGTCCCGGGGATAGTGGCTTGTATTCCCCGTAAAGCGGCCTCACGCAGGGAGCACCGCAAGAATGGCTCACCGTGGGCGGTAAAATGAGAAGAAAATCCCTGCTTGAGAAAGTCTATGGGGATTTTCAGTCATCCAGGTCGTGGTTATCTCAAAGGTGCTTTATTTTTTATCCCCCCCCCCCTCAAGAAGCAACTGAACTTAGTTTTTCTTTGAAGACGTTTCGCTTTCTCATCCAAGAAGCTTCCCCAAGCTCTGAGTGAAGAAGCTTCTTGGATGAGAAGCGAAACGCCTTCAAAGAAAAACTAAGTTCAGTTGCTTCTTGAGGGGGGGGGGAAGAAACACCTGCTTAAGAAACGTCCCTTTCCCCTCAAATAAGGGAAATAAAGGTGGCCGCCGTCGCCGCCGCCTTTTAAATCTCTCCCACTCCGCGTACAGTAACGAGAGCGCTCGCCACAAGGGAGCGAGACCGCAAAAGCGCTCGCGGCCGCCCAGGAGCGAACAGGGTGGGGCGGGATTGGCCGGAGTTTGCGGGCAACAGCCGGCAGCGAAGAACTGGCCGTCGGTGGAGAAAGGACTCCGGCGAAAGGGAGGGAGGGCAATACCGGTCCAGTCGGCGGCGGCTGTCGTTGTAGACTCGAGGAACTCCGTGGCCAAGCACAAGCCGCGTTTGGAAGAGGGCAGGCTGCTGCTTCGATGTCCTGACGCTCCCCAACCGCGTTGGTTCTCTCGCCCCCGGCCTGGGTTCGCTTCACCCACTTATCCCTAGGTTCAGTCAGCCGTGGCACCCCGGTTTCTTTTTTTTCGTTCTTTTTTTTCCCCCTGGGCGGGACGACGCATCGCAGCCCGGCGCGTGAGGCTAAACTGGGGGCGGCGAGGCGCTGCTTAACCTGCGCGCCAGTTTCCTCCCTCGCTCACTTGCTCGGGAGCCGAAAGTCCTCTGAGGTGACTCTCCTCTCCCGCCCTTTGGGGACAGGCGTGCGCTCCTGGTCAGCGAGGGGGCCCCTGACCCTCGGCCGGAGAGGGTCAGGGTCGGAGAAGGAAGGGGAAGGGGTCTCTGACGAGATAAGCTGCAAAAGGTGAGGCTGCACTTGGAATCCAGGAACTCCCCTCCAAAAGGCGTTTTGTGGCTCCTTAAATGGCTTGGCGGAACAGATGTATCCCGTTTATACCAGGGAGTCCTCGGCTTACGGCCACTCTTACAGTCACAAAATTTAAAATGAGCCTTGCCCCATTTTACGACGTTTCCTGCCACATTTGTTAAGGGAATCAGCTGTGGTTGTTAAGTTAGCATTTAAGGTGGTTGTTAAGGGAATCTGGCTTCCCCCATTGACTTTGCTTGTCAGAAGGTTGCAACCGTCATAAATGTGAGTCAGTCATAAATGTAAGTCAGTTGTCGAGGATCTGAATGTAAATCACGTGCTGCGATCATAGTAAGTGAGAAAAACGGTCATAGGCCACTTTTTTCAGTGCCATTGTAACTTTGGTCACTAAGCAAGCAGTTGTAAGTCAAGGACCACCCGCTTTTCCTGAAGGTGCCAGAAACTTCGGTATATAATGCTTTTGCTGCCTCTGGATATTGCTCCCCAATAAGGAACAGACTATCGAACTGAGTTTCACAAGAGGACTTGGTGCAGTTAGTTTAAATGCCTTTCTCTTGGTCTTGCTTTCTAAGCAACGCGATAATGGAAGGCAGGAAGGGGGGGCATGTTTCATCAGCAAAGTTGGCTAATTGTTAGGCAGGCTTTTAAATGACGCTCAGAGCATGTTTAAATCTTATCTTTACATCTTCAGTGTGCAGCCTGTATAGTGTCAAGATAAAACCATGCCAAACTGACCTTACATTTGCTTAGACAGTAATCCCTAGCCTTTCCTAAGCCAATGTTCTGCGTTTGCAAGTACTCAGCCACAAACTAACCAGAAAGGCTGAGATTTAGGGATGCCTGCATTAATGGAATCAAGAGGCAAATGTCTTGTGTTAGAAAATGGGTGCGGTTCAGGTGAATTTGCCATAATTTTTATATGTGCCCTGAGTCACCTAAGGAACCCATAAAGTTCTTATGGAACACTAGGTTCCAGAAACTAAAGCACCTTAGGTAAATTGGCTAATTTTTATAACTTTGCTGCTTATTCATATTTCTACAAGGCTAGCTGAATCTGAATGTCCTTAAATAAGCTAGGGGTGCTGCAGATAATGTTTCCCTTTTTCTCCTTCCACAGTGCCTTCTCATTGTTAAGATGAGAAGTTTGACCCACCTGATTGATAGGAGGCCAGGTTCAGTGTGCCATAATGCAAACCAATCAGTATACAAAAAATCCCAATGTTTTGTAGTCTGCTGTGGTCACAAGGATCATATATATATAAGAGTGGTGTCAACCTTGGGTGTCAACTCTTTTTTTACATGTCATCCTATAAATTAATGTACATCTTGGGTTCCTTAAATTAATCTGCCTAAAATTCAGTGAAAAAAGTGTAAAGCTAGAGATATTGCATTCCCTTCCTCAAAAGTCCTCTGGCACAATATCATGCCTTGATGTGGTTACTTACTGCCATCACTACTTGTTTTCCAGCGAAATGCTTTTATGTAGCATTGTCCCTCTCTGATCCCATTACAGCTAGTCCTCAACTTACAACTGTTCATTTAGTGACTGTTCAAAGTTACAACGGTAGCAAAAAATGATTTATGACTGTTTTCACACTTATAACCATCACAGCATCCCCATAGTCATGTGATCAAAATTCAGACGCTTCACAACTGACTCCTATTTATGATGGTTGCAGTATTCTGGGGTCATGTGATCACCTTTTGCAATCTTCTGACCAGCAAAGTCAATGGAGAAGCCAGATTCACTTAACAACCATGTTACTAACTGAACAACTATGGCAAGATCATAAAATGGAGCAAAATTCACTTAAATGTTTCGCTTAGTAATTTGGCACTCAATTGTGGTCATAAGTTGGGGACTACCTGTATGTGAGAAAAGAAAGCTTCTTCAATTCTGAATTGCTTATGAAAGGGAAATTAAGTAATAAAAAGGAAATAAATTTTCTGGCTCTGTAGCACTAATGTGTTTGGCTAAGCAAATTGATCTGTCCTCCTCTTGTGCTGATGGGCAGGTAGACCAATCTCACAAGGGATGAGTAGAATCAAATTTTACTACAAAAAAAGATTCATATAAAATATGCAACGGGTGAATTTACAGAAAACAGTAAAATCAGAAAAAATATAAAGGACTTAAACACACATAATGTTAAAATAAAAAGTAATTGTACGGTATATTTTTTATCTGAGACTGACTAGACTCCTCCCTTCTTTTCAGACATGCATCTTTTTGCTCATTTTCACCTGCAAGGACAAAGCCTTTTCCTCCGCAGTAGAAACCAAGTGGTTAGGTAGTCTGACTTGGTACACGACACAGAGCATGCAACTCTCCCTTGTATAGATGCCAACTGAGAACTCTGCTTGAGAGGAGATCTATATCTATCTATCTATCTATCTATCTATCTATCTATCTATCTATCTATCTATCTATCTATCTATCTATCATCTATCTATCTAGTAGATATTAGGAACTAGCTCGATACCTGTGCTTCACTATGAAACTCTGGTCAGGCTTACTTTGGGGGGAGGAAAATGGGGGGGGGGGATTCTGCCTCTGCCTACCAGCATCCATCAGTATTCATCTGGCTAACGTCCTGTCAGTGTGTGAGAGAGTTGAGAAACTGAAACAGTATTTGCTGTGTGAGCAAAAAGGAGACAGCAAGGACCCTGGGCGTGTCTTAGCTCAACTGTGCTGTACTAAAGCTGCTTGGTGCTTTGAAAGCAAAACTGAAACTGAAACTCTTCTCTCCTTGTGTTTTGCATTTGGAACAGATTTCAGGTGGGGAGGGGAATTAGAATTCCTTAGCATCAGAGCATGTTAATAATAATAATAACATATGAAATACTAATGCTCTGATGGTCATTTTGAAAAATCCTTTCTTAGTGAACACCTAGAAGCCAAGAGGAATATATGTGCCAAATTTCAGGTTTGTAGGCTGTACGGTTCTGAAGATTTTGTGATGATGCGTGAGTGGTATTTCGCTTTTATATATATATAGATAATAATAATGGCATATGTAGGGAATGGTCCCAAATGTCAAGAAGATACGGGAGTTGAGAGCTTATGATTGAAACGTTGCCATTTTGTACACATGCCTGATGTTAAGTTAATGCATATACAAAGGCTGTAGAATTTTGATTGTGGGTTCAAGACTTCCTTTGTTACTATCTTTGAACCACCTTATGGCCACTCTAGAATGTTTTCAGTTCTGGTGTCCAGTAAGAGTTCATCATTCAGAACTTACTGTTCTTAATTTGTCAGCTACTTGTTATTCCCATTTGTGCTGAAATTATTCCCTTTACAATTAAATTGATTTCAAATTTCTTGCATCAGTTCAGAGCCTACTTTATAAATCAGGCACATTCAGATACTAATGCTTCCATTTATCAGAACAAAAGAAGCTATCAGATCAAAGAAAAAGCTTGAAAATTATAGTAATGCCAGAGATAAGCACTCACCTGAACATTATCTTCTTTCCCCTTTTTGAAAGATATTAGGTGGTTTTGTATTTCTAGTTCTTATTGGAAAATAATGAATTGATTTAAAATTATAGATAACAAAAAGTGTTTAATTGTCTCTTAATCATATGGTAACTACCATTGTGTTTGACCATTGACAGTGGCTTGTAAAAGTTGACCTTTTCATGTGTTGAAGGATACACAGAATGGTATTTCTTATTTTATTCAATTTCTATAGCTGTCCATCTCAAGCAAGTGTATGGCAAACAATCATAAAATACAAACAATTACAATATAGTTCAAATTATATAGGGCACCAGAGGAAAAAATGTCATCATATATGTCAATATAGCCAGGACAGAGTCCTTCACACCCATGCCCAGGCACAAAGCCAAGTCTTCAAGGCCTTATGAAAGGTCTGCAGGTTTGGGTCATCCTCAACTCTGAAGGAAAATGCTCTAGAGGATGGGCTAGAAGAGAAGGCACATCTTTGAGTCTCTGCCAGTCGAAATTCCTTGGCTGATGGGACTCCTATCATGCCCAGCCTGCCTGACAGAACTGGATGGGTAGAAACCACTGGGAAAAGATGGTCATTAAGTATTAGGATCCCAAGTCATGAAGAGCTTTAAAGGTGACAAACTAGCACCTTGAATTGCACCAGGAAATACACAGGCAACCAGTGCATCTCATGTAGTAATGATATTACATGTGACAAATATTTGACACTATTTACTCCCCTTCCAGATACATTTTGCACAAATTAAAGTTTCTGAATGCTTTTCAAGGCAGTCCCAGATAGAATGCATTGCACTAATCGAAACAAGAAATCACATGGATGTGAGTAACCATGAGTAAAGCCTCTTGGTACAGGAATGGATGCAACTTTTTCACAACTTGAATGTGTTCAAAAGCCTTCCTAGCAATGGCTGGCCAAAATGCTCTTCTAGCAGGAGCCATGAGTCCAGAAGGACTCCCAAATTACACACTGGGTTCATCTTGATCAGAGTCATCCCATCCAGGACCAAAGAGGGAAGAACTTTGTCACCAGAGGTCTCAGATACCCAGAGCCACTCAGTCTTGCATGGGGCGAAGCCCATTGCATCCCATCCTGATCCTTCCAGCCTCCAAGCACTACCGCAGGATATCTGCTGCATTGCCTGAGATGATAAAGCTGGGCATCACTAGCATATTGATGATGCTTCACTCCAAACCACTGGATGACCTCATGCAGCAGAAGGCAAAAATGAATGAAAGCAGATTTTAGCAAACCTTTTGCAATGGGTGCTGCTAAAAACTTAATTGTATAACTTCTGACAATTGATTCCTTGCCTTTGGAGCATAGTGCAGTAGTGTGATGCTTAACAGTAGCTAATGGCACTCAGTTTTTTTCATGCATTGTGCACTAGGAACCTTCCTCTATTAGAATAATCACAAATAGACCTGTAATAACTATAGATAAGCTTATTCCACAAATCAGTGTTCTAAAGTACAGAGCCTCCTTGTACTTTGGCTTTATCTTCAGGATAGTAAAGGAGGGAGCAAAGGTACTTAAGAAATGCTGACGTGAATTCTGTTATTGTCCTAACTTTTAAAATTCTGGAGAGAGATATAATGTGATAATTTATAGCACTGCTCAGACTTCTAGAGAATTCAGTGAAAGAAGCAAAACAATCACTGTAACACAAACAAATATTAGGGCTTTTTTGTGTGTTCCATAATTGTAGATAACAAGTTTGTATCTTCCATAGTCCCAATCCAAAGGGAGGAATTGTACTTAAAGTGACATTGATAAGCAACATTCAGCACAGATAAGAACCACACCATTTGCTACTACAAGATTGAATACATTTTTAGAATTATATGAACTCTGAACTAAAAATGAGCATGTCATAATCACTGGTATAATATTGCATGGATTCAGATATGTCTTAAGATGTAAGGCTTGTCAAGGTTGCTCAATTTGTTTTGCATGCTAGAACAGGTTTTAATACACTATCTCACTTATCATTTGGCATTGAGATTTATTATCTGGACCCAGAAACACATTAGGGGAGAGGTCATACATCACAATAATCATACTTTAAACTTAGTTAAATAGAATTGGGCATGGCAGATGTTGTATGAACCAAGATTAATAGTTGCATTAGAATTATGCAGACATTAGTCCTCCAGGAAAACAAAGCTCATGGTAGCCAGAGATGTGGAGGAACATCTGCAAGCAGAGGTCTTCACCAAATTGGTGCTCCCTTAATATATTGTATAATTACTTATCCAGAACAGGTGGTAATTGAGAAGGGCTAATGTAAGGTAAAGAAATCAGCGTTGCATCCTAAGGATAGGGTTCCCCCCCCCCCAAATCTGCAGTTTGGAAATGTAACTAAAGTATGATTATCTTTCAGGTTTTCCATAGATCTTTCTTGTTTCAGTATTCCTATTTAAATCTAAATTTTATAGATATGTAATAGAAGATCAATAAGGGACAGGGTGGCTCAGTGGCTAAGATGCTGAGCTTGTCGATAAAAAGGTCGGCAGTTCGAATCCCTAGTGCTGCATAACGGGGTGAGCTCCCATTACTTGTCCCAGCTTCTGCCAACCTAGCAGTTTGAAAGTATGTAAAAAATGCAAGTAGAAAAATAGGGACCACCTTTGGTGGGAAGGTAACAGTGTTCATGCTGGCCACATGACCACAGAGACATCTTCGGACAGCGCTGGCTGTTCGGCTTTGAAACGGAGATGAGCACCACCCCCTAGAGTCGGGAACGACTCTAGGGGACGTATGTGCAAGGGGAACCTTTACCTTAATAGAAAATCAGCTTTAAATATTGCTGGTGTAATGCCTGTGATATAAAAATATAGCTAAAACTCCATTCTCTTGGTAAGAAATGACTGTTGTACCATTGCACTGTACTGTTACTGTTATCAAAAGTACTTATTTTTCATTTTTGTTTTTGTTTTTCACACAGAGGAAAGTAAAGGAAAACACAGGGTAAGTGTTTATGCTGAAAAATGTGGAAGTTTTCTTCTTATTGGACCCCCCCTACTCTTTTTCTACTTTTTTCTAACAACATATTATTCTATATCTCTGATAAGTTCTAGTGCAAAATTCAGGGCTGATTTTGGTCTTTGCCTATAAGGTTATGTTAACCTAATCTCTTTGAATGTAGCCTTTACAGGTAGTCCTCGACTTACAACAGTTTATTTAGAGACTGTTCAAAGTTACAACGGCACTGACTTTTGACCATTTTTCACACGACCCTTGCAGCATCTCCATGGTCACATGATCAAAATTCAGATGCTTGGTAACTGGTTCATATTTATGATGGTTACAGTGTCTTGGAGTCATGTGGTCATCTTCTGCAACCTCCTGACAAGAAAAGTCAATGGGAAGCCAGATTTACATAACAACTGTGTTACTATCTTAACAACTGCAATGATTCACTGAACAAGAGTGGCAAGAAAAGAGGCAAAATGGGGCAAAACTCACTTAACAAATGTTTCACTTAGCAACATAAATGTTGGGCAACATCAATTATGGTCATAAGTCGAGGACTATCTGTATTTATTGACTAGTAATTTGGAAAGCAAAACAGATATTACATCAAGGTGTTACAAATCTTTTTCTGATTAACTTCTTATGGTTAATCCATAGTTAATATACATGTTTGAATTTTAATTAAATCTAGCAAAAATTATATTCTCTAATCAGAGCATAGCCCTGAGATGAACTAGGATTTATTAGGGGTTTTAATGGTGTTACTGGATTTATTGAATGAATTTGTCTGTAGTACTTAGCTATCCTGTCAGAGGCTGGACATCAACATACAATATATTCAAATATATATACATACACACACACACACACACACACACACACACACACACACACACAAATGGCAAGTTCAAATCTCAACAAATAAATGCTCTGTCTTACATATTGGCAAAAAAAATCAGAAAATAAAATACAAGCTGAATAGTCAAGACCTTGTTAATGATCCAAACTCTGTCAAGGACCTTGGAGTACTCATCTCAAATGACCTAAGTGCTAGAGCCCACTGTAACTACACAGCCAAAAAGGCATTAAGAGTTGTTAACCTAATCCTACGTAGCTTTTTCTCTGGTAAAATAACATTACTAACTAGAGCATACAAAACATTTTCTAGACCAATACTCGAATACAGCTCATCAGTCTGGAATCCATATTACATATCTGATATTAACACAGTTGAGAAAGTCCAGAAATATTTCACAAGAAGAGTTCTCCACTCTTCTACTCGTTGCAGAATACCTTATGCCACCAGACTTGAAACTCTAGACCTAGAAAACCTAGAACTATGCCGCTTCCGGTCCGATCTAAGTATAGTACATAAAATTATATATTGCAATGTCCTACCTGTCAATGAATACTTCAGCTTCAACCATAACAATACAAGAGCAAACAATAGATACACACTCAAGGTTAATCGCACCAAACTTGATTGCAGGAAATACGACTTCAGCAACAGAGTGGTCAATGTCTGGAATACTCTACCTGACTTTCTTTCCCAAACCCCAAAAACTTTAACCTTAGACTGTCTACTATTGACCTCACCCATTTCCTAAGAGGTCTGTAGGGGGCATGCATAAGCGCACCAACGTGCCTAGCGTCCCTGTCCTATTGTTTCTTTTTTTTTCTCTTATATGTATCCAATTCATGTATTCATAACCATGCTTATACTTATACCTGTTACCTTATAATCGGTTGACAAAATAACATAAATAAAAAATATATATTCCAATACAGCACCATCCCCTCATTTCTATTTTCTTCATCCCCTCCATTTTAATTTATAGAGCAATTACAAAGTAATGCTACCTAGTGGCTCCTGAATCTTTGCTACTTCCAGGTCAAATGTACTTGGAGAGGGAGCAGTTTATAAATATTTTGTAGTTTCAGAACTTTTTTTTCCTTGAAGGATGTTAGTAAATGTGGTAAAACAGTTGTATAGTTTTATAAACATTACTGTTAATTTTGTTTTGTTTTTGTCTTACCTCAGGCTGGTTGCTTTGGCTACCCACTTAGTATCTTCTTCATAGTCATCAATGAATTCTGTGAAAGATTCTCCTACTATGGAATGCGAGGTGATTTTAAAATTTTATATTCTTAAGTTGGAACTGCTATTAATGCAGCTGCTCGCTGATTTTCCCATTAACTATTCTTATTATTTTCTTCCTTTTTTTTAGCTGTGCTTGTCCTCTATTTCAAGTTTTTTCTCCACTGGGATGATAATCTGTCTACCGCTATTTACCACACATTTGTTGCTCTCTGCTATCTAACGCCTATCCTTGGAGCACTCATAGCTGACTCCTGGCTGGGAAAGTTCAAGTGAGTGTATATCAGTGGGAAAGCATACTTAGGAGATTCAAACTGTTCCCTGTGGCATTTGAAGGTGGGATTAATTTCCTTAATTCAGAATTGGGTCAAATTATGGCACATTCCATTTATCCATCAATATATAATACAGGATCCTATATGAAAGCTCAGAAGTTTGACTTAGAGAAATGCATATTTTCTTTAGGCATAATGGGTGCTTGGTGTACTCCAGTAAGTAGGTAGTAGCAGGCCTAAAGGCAGAGAAATATTTTTATTTATTTATTTAAATATTTGATTTATTTAAAATAACTAATTAAATATTGCTATCATTCTGCTTCTGTCATATTAAAATTAAAATTCAGGGTTTTGAGGGCATATCTATTGACTGTAGTCCCCTTGTATGCACACCTTTAGTTTAACACTAAAGAAAGTACATTTTGCTGCAATTTTTCAATTCCTATCCAGGAAATAATATAATTTTCCTCTTAAAAGATTATGACAGTGTAATTCTCTGGCTTCTAAGGGGAAAAGTTGACTTTGACCATATACTATGCACACTTACTTCTTGCTAACTCTTAAGTCAAACACAGCTTCTCCCAGAAGGCAGGTGCAGGAACCCTGGAGAAAACATAGTTATTTCAAAAAGTTGCAGACAGGTGTAACATTCCCTATACGCATGCCCTCATATTTTTCCCTTCAATCCCAGAAACTACTGCCCTAATCAAGGTACACTGATGGAGGAATAGCTATCACATGCCTTCCACTTTTTGCTTCTACAAAAGCCATTGATTGATTAAGTCAGTGTCAACTTAGACACCATGTAAACAGATTTTTCTAAGACAATCTGTGCCCAAGATGGAAAAAAAAGGTTACAATGCCTAGGAAACATGTAATATTTTTATATTCCCCACAAATTTAAATTCCAGCTCATACTTTGTTTTAGTTATAAAATTCAGCTAAGCTATCCTGCTCAGAGAAAATTTTTATTAAAGAAAATTACAAAATTATGTCAGAGATAATTTACTTGAAAGATCTTGTTAACTATTATAATGAGCATCAAGTAGGTTAATCACATCAATTAAAGAGATGTTTTGATTTCATGTTGCCATTCACTGTTAGTTTCTGTTTTCTATCAGGGTGTCACCTGGAAGTTATTCCCCACTTTGTTGTTCTGGGAATACTGGTTTCATGGGAAATAAGAGATACATGTGATATTTCATGTTCTTATTACTTCAACAGTGAAAAACTCAGTAAATTTCCTGTAACCGTTTTCCAGTGTGGCTACTAACATATGATCAGGAAATGTTTACATTAGTTGATTGAGGAAGAACAGATATTTTATTTCTGAAAAGGCATGACTGAACTCATTAATGTATAAATCACATACAAAACAAATACAGTAAAGACTTTTGACTTCTAAACATAGTTATTTTAAACTCCAGATGTACATGCTAATAATACTTCCTTAAAGGTGGACTTACTGTTTAACATCCCTAGATTTTTTTTAGCGAAGATTGTTGAGTACAGCAAATATACTATACCTAAAGAACAGAAAATAAGGTTTTTCAGAAGTCTTCTTCATTGCCAATATATGAGGTTTAAGCCACATTTATTTGAAAGTTTAATACAGTAATGGGTGTGCATATACACATACTGTGTATGTGAAAGTGTATGTTTCTGTGTGTGAATACAGGATTACTTTCAAAGGGACCCAGTTTCAATTGATTTATTTTGCTTATTTTTCTACACTTAGAATTTAATTTGAAAGACAATAGCAAATCATATATTACTGCCAAGAAAACTTGCCAAGTCATGTCCCTAAAGTCCCCAGGAGACATATTCTATTTGGCAGTCTTTACTGTTTTACTGTTTTTTCATTCCACTATCCATATTTGACAATTCCCCCTAAGAAGCTGCTAATACTGGCAATCCAAATAAAAAAGCTATTGAATACTGAATAGCATTCAGTAATATTTACACTTGTGCAATTGAGTATGCTCATTTTTTTATTATGGCACACTCTGTTAAACTGAGTGAACCAATGTAACATTTCTGTATTAAAAAAAGAGCGAGAGAGGCATCATTTAAAATACATCTTCTGTTTGCTTCCTTCATTACAGGACCATTATTTCCTTGTCCATTGTGTACACAGTTGGGCAAGTAGTCTTGTCGATAAGTTCCATAAATGACTTGATGGATGGAAATCACGATGGTGCTCCAGATGACATTAACATTCCAATGTAAGTTGCACTTATCTTTATCTTCTACATGAACACATATTGGGGCCTATTAGGCATTCAGGGTACCACAAATCTGTTTACTGTGCACTTAATTATTGTAGCCTTGGTTCCTCCCTTTCTATCATCCTGTGATCCTATCATGTGGCAAAGTCCAAGGAGCTTTTTTCTGATGTAGCAACAGATTGCCGATGTGCTTTTACAAAGTGCTTCCATTATATGATTGTGCTGTGAAAGACGTTTGCAAGAGTTTGTTTGGTTTTTCAAAATGGAAACTTTGCCAACTTGCACTCTCCATTTACAAAGAAAATTACTAATTTTATAGCACAGTGTTAAAGATTAATTGTTAGATGCAAGCTTCTTTTTTAATTCTTGCCCTTCTAAGTTACTATATAGGAAACAATCCTCTCTCTGCCTGATATTAATGGCTAGATGAGATGCTTGTCCATTATAAAACTAACCTTTCAAAATTATACTTTATAATAGTAATAAATGTGTACAGGGGACAGGAAAACTAAGTGATTCACAGAAACAAGATGGAGGAGTTATGGACGAACATTTTACCTGTTTACAGATTATCCCAGAAAATTCTGTATGTTCAGAAATATTTTTGTAATATTGCATTGCTTTTAACTTTTGTCTAGCATAGTGGCGTGTTTTCATTCTTGATCTATATTTTATTTAGGTCTTCATTATTTTCCTAAGAATGCATATTTGCCATGCAGATGGTCCCGGGTCAGGGGTTTTCTTTCTTTATATGCATTCAGACTTCAGTTTAAAGAGCTCATCTTAGAATTTATTATTGTCATGGTTGGTTTTGAGTTTATTGGCCATGTACATATAATTTGGATTGGAAATGTTTCGCAACAGTTACTATTATGATGGTAAGCTAGGCATAAATCTATACCATATTAAAATATGCTTTGGATCGGATATTAACCAACATGTATTTGTTTCATAAAGTATTTTTTAATTCCAATTTTCGAAATCCTATTTTCACAGTAGGTCATCTTCAGGGTGACTAGATATATTTTGTGCTGTGATCCTTTGGGGATTATATGCCTAAACTGTTTGCTCATGTAGCCCATTAGCAAGTACATCTCAATGCTCAAAGTAAAACATAGATAGAAAAATACACATGAAAAGACCAGGGTACTCACCTATTATGGTTAATCTGTTGTTACAGAGCTTTCTCTATGATTGGTTTGGTCCTTATTGCTCTGGGAACTGGTGGGATCAAACCATGTGTTGCAGCCTTTGGGGGAGATCAGTTTGAAGAAGACCAGGTATCAGTTTTATTTAATTACTTACAAATATTGTAAACTATCATCCTTTGGTTTAATTCTTGGTTGTATGACAGTATGTTGCCATATTGGGCCATAAGGAAGCAAATAGAGGATCAAGAAATGGAGCTACACATGGATTTCATTTGAAGTGTGTGTGTGTGTGTGTGTGTGTGTGTCACTATGGAGATTTCTGACATTCTATTTACAATATGCAACTTAAGATTCAATGGAAGTATAGCAGATCTTCATAATATTTCAGAATTCACATCAACTTCTGTCTAGAATCCTTGAAAAGCTTGTTCTTTGCCTTTTTCTCTCCTGTTTCACCAGTAGGTTATACTTTTCCAGTTTTGCCTCTTTGCCATAGCTACAGTTTGGCTGAAATTTCCTTAGCCAAACTTACACTTGGCAACTTTCTCCTGTGGAACAAATGTAATCATTTGGGTCCCAGTAATTGTCCGCTGTCTAACTTATTTTTATGTAGATTAAAACAATACAGATAGTCCTTAACTTATGACAATTCAAGATCAGAATTTCCATTGGCAAGAAAGGTACTTCCTAATAAGAAATATATGATTTTACTACCTATTTTGCTATGGTTATTAAGTGAATCACTGCAGTTGTTAAGTGAATCAAACAGTCATTAAGCAAATCCACTTTCGCCATTGATTTTGCTTGTCAGAAGCCAGCTGGGAAGGTCTCAAATGACTATCACATGACCCTGGGACAACCAATGAAAATACATGCCAGTTGCTAAGAGTTACAATTTTTGATCATGTGACTGTGGGGATGCTGCTACAGTCATACGTGCAAGTACCAATCATAAGTCCCTTTTTGAGTGCCTTTGTTTAGTGTCTATTCATTGCTAAATGAATAGTTGTAAGGATTACTTGTAAACATTCTTTTATGAAACTTTTAAAAGCTGTATGATAAATGATTTTGCAAAAACATATTTATTTATAGACACCTTTTACTTTTACATTAGAAGAATTCAAATACTAATTTATAATAAGTTTCTTCTTTGTATTTCAGGAAAAACAAAGAAGCAGGTTCTTCTCTATATTTTATCTTTCTATTAATGCTGGAAGCCTTCTTTCTACTATCATCACTCCAATACTTAGAGGTAAATTTTTCTACATCAGATTGATAAGTTTGTCTTGATACAGGCATGGGTTTGCTAAACACATAAATATAAGGATAGCCATTTAGGAGGGGTCTGTATCGGTCTGTAGCTTGTGATTAAACCAGTATGCTTTTGATTAGAAACAACCTATGATTGTTTTAATCTTCTGTTATCTACTCTTACAGTGACAAAATTAGTAGACAGTGACAAAATTAGTGGACCAGCGAAATGCTATGGATACCATTTACTTGGACTTCAGTAATGCGTTTGATAAAGTAGACCATAACCTACTACTTGACAAGATAGAAAAATGTGGGTTAGACAACATCACTATGGGATGGATTTGTAACTGGCTGACAAACCACATTCAGCATGCAGCCCTTAATGGAACTGTATCTACATGGGGGAAGTGTGCAGTGGGGTACCCCAAGGCTCCGTCTTAGTACTCCTCAATAACTTCATCAATGATTTAGATGAGGGGATAGAAGAGGAATTCATCAAATTTGCAGACAACGCCAAGCTGACAGGAATAGCCAACACTCCAGAAGATAGGCTCATGATACAGAAGGATCTTGAGAGGCTTGAACTCTATCTAACAAAATGAGATTCAGTGGTGAGAAAAGTAAAGCTCTACATTTAGGCAACAAAAACCAAATGCATAGGTATAGAATAGATAGAACCTGGCTCAATAGTAATAACTGCAAGAAGGATCTTGGAGTCTTATGAACAATCACTTAAATATGAGCCATTTTATAATGCCATACTAAAGATCACATTTGGAATATTGAATCCGGTTTTGGTCACCACAAGATAAAAAAAGATATTGAGACTCTAGAGGGAGTGCAGAGGGGGAGCAATGAAGATGATTGGGGGACCGTAGGCTAAAACATAGGAAGAATACTTGCAGGAATTGGGTCTGTCTAGTTTAATGAAGAGAAGGACTAGGAATGACATGATAGCAGTGTTCCAATATCTGAGGAGCTGCCACAGAGAAGAGGCTGGGACAAGAAGCAATGGATGAAATTGATCAAGGAGAGAAGCAACCTAGAATTAAGAAATGTCCAGAAGTGAAAGCAATTGATCAGTAGAACAACTTGCCCCAAGAAGTTGTGGGTGATCCAACACTGGAGGTTTTTAAGAGGAGATAGGACAGCTATTTGTCTGAAATGGTATAGGGTCTCCTATTTGAGCAGAGGGATGGACTAGAAGACCTTGCAGGTCCTTTCTGATTCTGTATTCTGAAATCCTCAGAAGTATAAATCCCAGCAAGTGAAACTACAGTAGACATAAATAGCCATTTTCTTTCCCTACTGCTTCTGACACAGGTCAAATGTCCTTTCTGATTTATATAAGGATTTGATTTATATAAGGACCATGTTTGGAATGCAAGCCACAGACTCTAGTAATAGTGGGGACATTATTAATAGCAACAGTTAAATTTGTTCATGCAAGTCAGAATACAAATGTCCTGGCTATAAAAACTGTGTGTGTGTATATTGTATATGTGTGCATATATTTATATCTCTGCCTCTATCATCTCTGTCTCTATATCTTTCTCTATCATCTTTATCTCTCCAGGAAGATCTGCCTAGAGGAAACAAAGGAATATGGAATTATTTTCCCAAGGGTGGGAAGACACAGCAGCATGGGAACTGTCCAAAGGGAAATAATGAAAATACGCTATGGAGGCTAAATATCTTTTCTGTACAGAGAGGATTTTCTTAGAATGGCTTAGTATCAAGATAGCATGAGGCAGGACAGTAGAACAGTTGAAGAATGTACTATAGATATGTCCTAAGAAGTCAATAAATAATTACAAGCTGCCTATATTTCCAAATGAGACTCCCATGTATAAACGGTTGTTCAAATAGAATATGTAATTTTAGTTCACTGAATAATTGACAGGGAAGACTTGTCCTTTCCGGCTACTGTTACAGAAAAAACACAACTATGCTTCCCACTTATTTTTTTTGTACAGGAGTGGAATGTGGAATTCACGACAAACAAAAATGTTATCCTCTGGCATTTGGTGTTCCTGCTGCCCTAATGGCTGTTGCACTGTGTAAGTCAGACAATCGATCAGATGTATTGCTTTTTTACTTCCGTATGATTAATTTTGTTACAGTGATATAATTATATTCGTAGTCCTCAACTTAGGATCGTTTGTTTAAGATATGATGGAAAAGGTGACTTATGACTGGTTCTTGAAGTTACAACCTTGTATACTCCCCCAACAGTCATGTGATTACAATTTGGGCACTTGGCAATTGGTTTGGGTTTATAGTGGTTGCAATGGCTTGAGGTCATGTGATCATGGTTTGCAGCCTTCCCAGACAGTTTCCAAAAAGCAAACCCAATTGTGGACACTGAATTTGCTTAACTATGTGATTTACTTAATGACCACAGTAAAAGTGGTCATAAAATCAGGCCCAGCCATAAAATGACTTGCTGAATGACTGTATTGCTTAGCGACCAAAATTCCACTTCCAATTGTCATAACTACTTGTAATGTGTTCTGGTTCATTATGACAGTTTCCTGACTGTATTGATCAATTATGGATTATGCATGAGAGATAACTTTCAAAAGAATAATAGACTGTCAGAAAATATATAGATCTTAAATTTAATAGCAGATTTCCCCCTCTCCTTACTTGTTTAGTTATTCAACTATAAATTGATTTGCTCCCTTGTTGGAATTTAATCTTTCTCAAAATTTTCTATCTGTTGATTTCTCTCCGCAGTTGTGTTCATAATTGGAAGCAGAATGTACAAGAAAGTGAAACCAGAAGGCAACATCATGGTCCAAGTCGGTAAAAGCATTTTGGTAAGCAATATATAAGACTAACATTTTCAAGGAAAGTTTATTTTCTTGAACTTGACATTGAAATAAATCTGTATTCAGTGGTCTTTTTACTAGTTGTCTCAGGGTTCCTCTTTTTTTCTGAACTATATAAAAACCTTCATCTGGATAGCAGTTCTAGTTCCTTATCTAGAATTATTACAGTTTGGGATTTAGCTCTAGCCTGATAGTTTGCTGATCAGAAATATTCCTCTTCTTGATTCTTGCCTAAAATGTTTTTCATGATCTCTGAAGCCTAATCTGCATTTATGAAGGCAGAGTTGTTAATTAGGAGAAATAGTGTACAGAAGTTGACAAACTGAAATCCAAGAAGAAAAGACTGCGCTTTGGATAGCAAAACTGGAATAAAATTTGTCCCTACCTTGTTCAACCAATTGAGCCAAATGTTTCCATGCAAATAGTTTTGGGAGCAGGGGAAAAGAAATACATGCAGAATTTTTAAAAATTAGGCAGCCTAGTCAAACAAGTGACTTATTACCTGGTTGAAAAAGTTTTTAGCTTTAAGTATTTTAAAGGCTGCATCTTGGCTTCCTGCTTGGATATTAGATGGCACTCTTGTTCTTGTTCTTTTTCCCTTTTATTGTTTCTTGAGGACTAGATTTATCTTTTCTAGAAAATGGAGAATAAATGAACATTAATATAACTGGGGGAACTCATGCTAAATAGTCCAGAAAATCAGCAGCTATCCACTGACTGATTTATTCATCCTAAAGTCATTGTGGGAATATGGTTAAGGTGCAGATTAGTTATGCCAGAGGATTAAAAAGTTTAACGGGAAAAGTATTTTTGGAAAACAGAAATTGAACTCTATCTGGGATCAACCATACTTTGAAGGCACTACTACGCTATTCCAAAATTTGACACAGTTCTCTAATAAGAAGAAGGAAGCTTTATATTTTGAATAAAGCATCTATTACAAACTTAGCAACTTTAAGATGTGCAGCCTTTAACTCCCAGAATTCCCCAGCCAGCAGAAGTTGAAGTCTGCACATCTTAAAGCTGCTGTGGCTGAGAAACACTGATTTATTGAGTCAGCTTTTAAATAACTGTTTGGGTTCCTTAAATTTATCTTCTTGCTGGAAGTTTTTGTCCCATTTCAGTGGTGGGATTCAGCTGGTTCTCACAGGTTCACACAAACTGGTTGTTAAATTGCTCACCCACCCCCACCCCCGCTACCAAAGTGGATCCTGGGCGCTGCGCTGCAGTAGAGAAATGGTCAATGGAACGGCCAGTGCGAGGGAAGGAGAAGGCTGCTTTCCCTGCTCCTTCCTTCGTGCCGGCCACTCTGTTGCCCGTTTCTCTATTGCAGCGCAGTGCAGACCCAGGATCCACTTTGATGGGGGGGGGGGGGGAGTAATTTAACCACCGATTCATCCAAGGTCAAGTTAGTCATCACGGGACGCTCGTCCCACATGTGCAGTAGAGCTGGAGGACGGGGATGGGCCATGCCTCCCAGGACAGCCAACCTGCCCCTGGACGAACCAGTTCTTAATTTATTTGAATCCCACCACTGCCCCATTTATATTTGTAAAAAAAAAGTTAAAAAATAGTCTTTCTCCAATTTCTTTAATCAAGAAATTGAAAGTGTTAGATTGGAACTCCTATCATTTCCATCTGAAAGGGGAATAAGAATGTTAGTCCAGCATATTTGAAGATCATCAGGGAGGATGTTCAAGGAGGTAGCTTAGATTGTCTTTGATTGTTCTGGAAATAATACCCTAACCCTAACCCTTACTGTTTATTATTGTAGTTAATATTGTCAGGAGTGAAGAATTAGGACCACATGTTAAGTTCCAGTTAAGAAGACTTTATTTTTCACACCTATATACAGGAACCTACAGTAGTTAACTAATTCTCAGCACTGAATTGGCACTAAAAAAGAGTTAATGGGTTTTGGGGGAGAGTGGACTTGGATCGCCTCTTGGATTGAGAATTTCGTTCACATCTAGTTAGCACCATTTCTGTTCCCATAACTTTTGGTATTTCAGGCAGATAACTTGGGGTCGTCCCCCCCCCCCAAATATTTATGAATGTACTTAAAAGAAAAATAGTATTCTAATTAATTTCCAAATTATTTTTTCCAGTTTGCTATTCGAAATAGATTTAAGCACCGCAGCAAACGATTTCCCAAGAGAGAACACTGGTTGGACTGGGCTACTGAAAAGTATGATGTAAGTTGTATTATTGGCTTATATTGAATTTTATTATATACTACTAAAACAACAACAACATTGCTTTAGGTTTTACTTTTTGGATTGACCTGTTTTCATTAACTGATTGCTATCATTGTACCATTGCCAAATCTCTAATTTTATTATCCTCTTGGCAGCCTTAAAAATTTGCTCGCAACTTCAAAAAGATAAACATGACAGCACATAGAATTAAAAAACAATAGGTGTAAAACTCCCAAACTTCAGAAATTTTAACAAGTTTAAGTAAGATCAGATAAAGGTTAAAGCAGGGATGGGATTCTACCAGTTCGTACCTATTTGCTAGAACCGGTTGTTAACATTATAAGCAATTTGGAGAACCAGTTGTTAGAAGAAATTACTGACCTAATCCTGTAAGGAAGGCAGGAAGGAAACATTCTGGTGTTGCTTACAGAAACTGCCTCTCCATTAACCCTTATTACATTCTTGGCAGGACTAGACTTCCTGTCTCTGGAGTTTTTCCCCCCCTCCTTTGCTAGTACTTTGCTTGTGTGGAGTGACCATTCAAAGTTACAATGGCACTGAAAAAAGTGACGATTTTCATACTTATGATTGTTGTAGCATCCCCACAGTCATGAGAGGCCAGGCAAGGAGATGTGTGCCTCGATGTGAGTGATATTGAGTTGGCCATGCCCAGCCAATAACATGACCACCAAGCTACGTCTACCCAATCACATGACCACCAAGCCATGCCCACCACCTAAGCCACGGCCACAGAACCAGTTGTTAAAAAATTTGAATCCCCTGTGTCCTCTGTATCATTTGGACAGTTAGATTTAATATCAGTTTACTTTGAAAACACACATAAGATAGTTATAATAAGCAAACAAACAAATGAGCAATGCTTTAATAATTTTTCAATAAGTCAATAGGCTGAGTAGGCTGAGTAAAATAAAAACAGTTTACCCAATTGTAGATATCTGCTGTATTTATCTGAATAAAAATGTCAGTCTAATTAGTTTAACTTTCAGATTAACTTTTGGACAAATCTGGTTTTTTTTTAAACAGCATTCTGTTCTTTGTGGAGATCATGCATATCTTTTGTTTATATCAGGCAATGTACTACTCATTCTCAGTTACGCAATTTTGAAATGTTAAAATAATCCCTGCATTGCTTCATCAATTATGTAATTATGACTCACCTACGTTTCATTTACAGGCATAAAAATAAAGCTTAATCCAATTTTGGTTGTATTTACACAATATGGTTGTGGAATTTATTTATTTCCTGACTTTGCTAAATTAACCAAATGGGGGTGGACTTACAAACATATTAAGCCATCTTGAGATAAGCAAACATAACACTTAGGATCTTGTGCATATAAACATTTAATAGAGGCAGTATTGTTACAAATGGCAAGTAAGGTGTCTTATCATTAAGTCATGCCCGCTAAGTCAACACTGATGCTGAGAAAAAAATACTGGTTTTGATTAATGAAATAATGTCTACCCGTCAGAATCAGCTTATTTTAGCTTCCATGAATTTACCTATTTCCCTTTCACAGTAAACAAAGCAGATGGCAATATCCACTAAGAAGAAGTACTTCCTTTCCTGAAGGAAAGTGTTGATGGGCTGCCAAGTAGATTACATGGTTGATTACATGACTGCAGAGGTGCTGCATTGGCCATAACTTCAGGAGCCATGCATCAGCACTGTTTCTTTAGCATTGCTGTAGCTTTGAATGGTCATTGAATGAATGGTTGTTAACCAAGAACTACCTCTATACTGTAGTCTTTATTGTGAGGGGTGGGTGAAACACCCCACCTTTATAATATGGTAATGAATAAAGTCCTCTTCCATACCTACTGCTATTCTGCATCATACTCTCTTTATCTCTTATTACCTCTCAATAGATTAGATGCATTGTTGATGCTTATTTCAATCTGTATATGGAGCTTGGCTTCGTTTTGCACAATTTAAATATTTAATATCTGACACATAAACAAATGCAAATGAATAAGGAAGATACCTATTTAACGTTTCTTGTTTTGTTCTTTTGTTATAGAAACGGCTTATTACTGAAATTAAGATGGTCTTGAAAGTTTTGTTCCTGTACATTCCTCTTCCTATGTTTTGGGCCCTTTTTGATCAGCAGGTAAATTGTGAGAAAAAATTGTTAGTCCTCCTGTGCATATGACCAAATTGTTAGACCATGCAGTGCTTTTGCTACCGTGTTTCTCATATAATAAGGCCGGGTCTTATTTTTTTTTGAGCCCCCCAAAATGGCTAGGCCGTCTTTTCGGGGGTGACTTAATTCCCCCCCTTGCATCTTCGGGCGGGCGGTGACGGTTTGGATGTTGACCTCAGTGTTGGTGGGGCATTTCGTATCGGGGTCAACGCAGGCACCACCATATCCAGGTGTGCAACAAAAGTACTTCCTAATGGCAACCCCCCCACCATCCCCCCCCATTTCGCATGTTTTAATATAGGCCTTAATTTGGGGGGAGGGGCTTAATTTCATTTCATGCCTATAAAACATGCTGGGACTTCCTATTGGGGGAGGCCGTATTGTTGGAGAAACAGGGTAGAATTATACATTAGGATTTAGCATTGGATGTAGACTTAAAAAACTCTATGTGAACATTTTTATTACAGTGGAATAAAATACATAAAAGATAATCCAATGGACCACCAATGTGATTGTATACTAGAGATGGTATACCTCAGTTAAGTTAAGTCTTTTTATGGTGTTAATAAAAATTGCATCCATCTTTCCATACTCCCCATCATCCTACATTATTCCCTTTTGAGAAAAGTACTTTATAAAGTGCAAAAAATGGGTATAAAGTAGTAAGCAAAAACAAAATTAGGAACAAGATAGACGACAACATCTAATAAAAGACTATTCCCCTCCCCCACTGTTTTGTTACCTTTGCAAACCATTGTCACTTCCACTGGGACCATGCCTTACTGTTTCACACAGTACCTTTAGTCCTTTAAAATTCTTGCCTTTCTCTTTTTGAGGATACCATCAGCTCTACCCGATCATGACTTTCTCATCCTCTTGAGCCATCACTCTTCCTTCATATATATTTGCTTTATAATTCAGTCCTCATCCGTTGTCTCCATAGGATCAAACCATCTCAAAGTATTTATTTCATTTTGGTCATTCACTTTAGTATTCAGATCATATTTCATTCATTCCCTTTTCATTCCGGATCCTATATTTTTGGGTTTTATCAAAGCTGCTTATGTGGCATTCAATTTACTTTTATATTTTCATGACATACTCACCTATCACTTCCAGATGACAATGTGGGCTCTTAATCTGTTTTACTTCTACTACCGACTTGTGTAACAGCAATGTAAATATTGTTAAAATAGTGCAGATTCTTAATGTACTATATATATTCTACTATTTAATATTTAATTAGGATTTTTGCTTAAAAACTTGTACTTTTTGTTCTGAAGGGATCTCGATGGACATTGCAAGCCACAACTATGGATGGAAATATTGTAAGTTATTTCTTACTCATGTACCCTCAATCAAATTCTGAGTCTTTATTATGTATTTTTACCTAAAAAGTTATCCATAGCTTCTCACCCAGCAAGTGATAAGCATTCGATTGATAGATATCTGTGTATATTTTCCTTGCTATATTAAGGCACTGATATTTAAATTAAATTAAATCACATTATTAAATTAAATTTTTATGAGTTTTTATAAGTGAAATGCATCCGTTTCTTTTTTCTTTCCTTTTAGGGTTCAATTCAGATTCAGCCAGACCAGATGCAGGTACAGTAAGATGGATTTTTTATACTTTTTTGGGGGGATTGAGCTATTGTCAAATATCATTTTAATTTTTTCTGAACATTATTGATTTTCTTTTTTTCTCTCCTATTAATAGACTGTAAACCCAATTCTGATTGTAATCATGGTCCCCGTTGTAGATGTTATTATTTATCCTTTAATTAAAAAGTGTCACATAAATTTCACGTAAGTAAATATGGATTTTTAAAAATCGTAAGTAGAAAATTGTATCAAATTCTAATGCATGAAATTTAATTGTATCCTTAAGTGATGGTAACATGAACAACTTGGGTTACTTTACAAATCAAACTATAAAGAAGACACAACTATTAAAAATACTTTTATATGAAAAATAACTACCTTTCTTCTAATGGTAGGCACAAACATAACTAAGCAGTAGATAAAAAACAAGCATCATTCAACATAATTTTCACTAATAATTAAAGCACTGTAATTTTATAAAGAAACAATCTTAATTTAGTATTTGTCAGGTGAGATGTAAGATGTGCTCAATGTACCCATATGAGAAAACCTGTTCCTGTTATTATCAATATTTGAATCAACTTTTACATATAACAAATTGATCATGCTAGAATCTTTAAAAATAAATTAATATTACATCTCAAAATTATTTGTCTTGTGTCAAATGATAATATTAGTGTCAGGTTTCCAAATGATGAAATTCATTTAAAAAGAACAAAGTCCATCTTCCAAAACAATTTCTTTTATTTAGGAAAGCATCAAATTGGCAAAGTCCATGGTAATTCTGGATCTGACACAACCTGGAATTACCCCACAATATTAAAAGTTAGGAACAATCCCTAAAAGTCACATTCTCCAATAGAAGTAATTCAACGTTTCTTGATGTCATAAATCTCCACCTCAAGAAGCCCAAGCACAGACAGCTCGTTTCCCACGGGAAGAAGAATCATCTAGCCAAAACACTCTCTTTATCTCCACTCCTCCCCCCTTAGGAATGTGGCAAGCCTGAAGCCCTTCCCCCCATGACTCCCACAGAGAAAGTAAGAAAAAGAATATATACTAAGCCGAACTAAAATGGCTAAACATATGTCAATTTTGGGCTTGACAGGCTGCCCTCCCTCATTTGAAAAGAAACCCCTGCAACGACATAAAATACACAAAGATTGAAATTAGGTTAAACACAATCATACAATGAAGCCCGAAATTGACAATTAGGTTCGGCATCTTGCTAAATTTCTTTCAATATTCAGTTGTTAAGTCTGTATTGTTCTAATAGTGGATAAAGAAAAAACATGTATCGATTCAAAATGATTTGGCTGTAATTCCTCTAATTTGGCTTTGATCTCAGAAGTTATTACAATTGTATTCTAACTTGCTTGAAAGGCACCAGTATTGGAAACCTGTTCTAAGTCTTTCGGTATTGCAAAATGACATTTTAGATTACATATGTACATCCTCAACATTGCAACATACTGTGCTGCGATGAAGGATTTGAGGGATTGCCCAAAGACCCAACAACAGTGGAAATATGTTTTTAGGGAGATAAGATGTATACATCACTATTGATCATATTCTCAGTTCAGACAAGAAGATTGTACAAATTAATTATAAATAATGACATAAAACACTCACTAAATCCACCTGAATATCTTAAAAAATTAACATGTATCAGTAATGAAAAATTGTTGGGAATACATAGTTGAAATTCAGCAGGTTAAAATATTATGGGATTTTTTGAATACAGACTGATAAAATCTAGGCTCATAGCACATAAAATATCATAACACATAAAATATAGGCTCATAACACATAAAATATCACTGTGGTTGAAAAGATAACAGTGTGAATAATTGAGGTGGGGATACTATCTAGAGGATAATAGAATAAAAGACAAAGAATTGGAGGAGACCACAAAAATCAAGATCTGAAAATCAAAATGGAACTATTGTGGCATAAACCAGCCATGGTAGTCCTGAAATGGTTACTAGCACACTGGGTGCAATACCAAAAAATCATTAGAAAATCTGCACATTGATCAAATTTCCATCTGTTAACTGCTTGTTCCACATATCTACGATGTTTGAAAGAACTTGATGTGTATGAAGACCAACATCAGCTAAAGAACTGACAATAATAATAGTAATTCTTAGGTCTTTGATTAAGACTTGAATTAAGTTTCCACCAGTCTTGGGCTGTAAAAATAACTATGGACTACCTACACATAATCTGCCTATTTCAAGTGCTTGGGAAAGATTTGATAGGTGGACAAAAATGCCAAATGCAATCTAAATATATGACATTTTGTTTTTAAAACTAATTTAGAAAAGTTTGCTTTGATTTGCTAAAAGCTCATAGAATCAATTAGGGGATTTTTTTTCTCAATAGTGAAGTAGGTTGAATGAAAGGGAGAAGTTAAAGAAGATATAAATTAGTTATGTATTATGGTATATTCTTTTTAATATAACAATTTGAAGCCTATTATTTTTATTTTAATACTGTTTTAGTGCTTGTAGTATTTATTTTAAAGTGTTCCTGAATAGCTCCTTGTGCTTCGTTCTATTCCAGGCCTCTGAGAAAGATGACGGTTGGCATGTTACTGGCAGCTTTGGCTTTTGTTGTTGCTGCTGTGGTACAAATTGGAATTGATGTAAGTAAAAATAGAGACAAATTCTGTCCAGGGGTGTTTTAAATTATAAGACTTAAAATTTTGAAGTGGTGGGCACTGTCTATTCATGAATCTCTTAAGTGATTTCGAATTGTGATTTTGGAAGTGCTACATAGAATAGTTTTTGATTAACTGCCCTGTTTAGCAACTGTTCAAAGTTACAAGAGCATCCTCACAGTCATGCAATCACAATTCAGGCACTTTGCAATTGGTGCGCATTGACCACTATCACTGTATCCTGTGGTGGCATAGTCTCCCTTTGCAACTTCACAATCAGTTTCTGACAAGCAAAGTCAGTGAAGATATTGGCATTAAAATGGAAGGTCATGGTCATATGATGTTTCGCTTAATGACCATGTTGCTTAGCAATGGAGTTTGAAAAGTGGAGAGAGACTGCAGAGACAAAGAATTGGTCTGATTATTAAGAAACAGGAGGAGTTTAGTTCTTTCCTGTCATTTGCACTCTAGTTATATTTAAGACAGAAGTAAGGAACGATTTGTTTTATTGATGACTTTTTAAAAATTCAGCCTTGCAGATGAGTAACATAATATTGGTTGGTGCGTCTTCTCCCTTGTCTAGCAAAATTACATCCAGAAGACTTACCCAGTTTTTAGTCTTCTCTGGAGATGAATGGTCCCAGTGTGAGTACAGAGCAAGATGCTGGGATTGCCCACAGCTGCAGGTTGCTACCCGTGTTAGACCATGAATTTCATAGGAAGTTTCCTTCAGAATTGGATGGGGGAATAGTGTAATAACAATGTAAACTGCCATTAGTAATGCAAAACCACATTTTGTGGATGTGTATATACGTTACTAGCTCACAACATGCTTTCAATTGTCATAATAGCACTTCCTATTTATTACTGTCTACCACAGAAAACTCTTCCAGTTTTTCCTGCAGAAAACCAGTTTCAAGTCAAAATAATAAATCTGGGAGACACTAAAGCAACAATTGTGACTGCTGGAGAGAACATTCCCTTGAATCCATTTAATGCGGTATGTTTTAAGATTTCATTTAAGTTTTATTCCAGTTTTAAAACAAATGCATTTTAATGGGATACAATTTCTCAGCATTAATTAGAAATTAGCGAATATACTATTAGTCAAAATAAAATTTGCGAATATACATCTTCGCATGGATAGGCCATGTGTTCCTACATTGCATACCATCTCATAAATAAAAAAGAACAGCTGAAGAAGCTTCTTGGATGAGAAGTGAAATGTCTTCAAAGAAAAAACAGAAAGTTCAGTTGCCTCTTGAAAAAGCACCTTTGGGACATCATCCCTATTGAGATGTGTTTACCATGCCTAAACTTGCCTGTTTTTAAATTGGAACTTGGAATGAAAATTAGTATCTTTTGGAGTCTATAAACAGTATCTCATCAATATTGAAATCAGTATTTATAACTATTGTACTGCTTTGCACATCTTTCATTTCCTTCTTATATAGAACAAAATTTAGAATTAGTAATTTTTAGAAGAACACCACTCTGTGTCCCCATTCATATTATCCTCTTTCAGTAATTAGTCTTGCATGGTGCTTTATAAAGTAGCTCCACTTTCAGTTTCTTACAAAGTTATAAAGTTCTCTCATGCCTTAATGTAAGGCACCTCAAGGCAGCATTTTCTATGTTTTCTTTGTCTTTGATCATTCATCCATAGTTGGATGAGCCCTATTGTATACATCCTAGGAAAGCAAACATCTTGTTAGCATCACACATCACAGAAGGGAAATGAAACCAGTTATTCAGAGGTTGAATTTCATGTGTACAGCTGAAATGGTTGGGGAGATACAATGTTAGAAGGAAATTAATAGCAATAAAATCTGATCATATTTCAACAATTTTAATTGATCAGATGCAGGATTTTTTTGACTAGGTATCAAAACCATAAAATAGGAAATATAATTAATATTATTACTAATTGACACACATGAAAACTATTCAGTTACATGAAAGCAATGCCAGTTTTATTGTTTTTTATTTTTATTTACAGACGGAATATATCACATATGAAATGAAGATGCCAAACAATATTGACATATCATATCTAAATGGATCTCTAACAGAAAAAATGATTAATATGGAGAAACGACGACACACTCTTGTAATAAAAAATAATCCTAAAATTGAAGCAAATCTGGTAAATTTATTTAAAGATTATTTGTTCTGTTTAGATCATTTATTATCTATTAAAAATTAGTACTGGATGTATGAGTTATAAAATGTATAAATATGATAGAGGCTATAATAGGACTGTTGCTGTTGAGTATACACAAAATTTGGGCATAGGGATAGTATAATTATCTGTATACAATATTTAATTAAATATTAATGGTGTTAAGATATAAGCATGTTTGTGAATAAAAATCATGAAAGTGCCCATGGTGTAAAGAAATATAACTGTTCCGTGTGGATTTTATTACCATATTCAAGTTATTTCTCCTCTTAGTTTATAGATGACATCACAGAAAAACCAGAACAAGGCAATAATATGATCAGGTAATAAAAATTAATTGTGTGGATTTATTGTGGTTAATGTTTAATTTTATTAAGCTATAAGATAAGAGTCTGGAACTAAATATTGTGGTAGGGATTAGTTGCTTTGACACTGAAGACAGTCCTGGAAGGCTCTACTATCACTAAACTACAACAGTTCATTTAGTGACCGTAGAGAGGGCAGTATTGTCATTATGTGATGATACACCTCAAACCACAAGTTTGTCTCCAGGCCACACTCTCTTACCTAAAAACCCACACCAGACTCCCTTGTAATAACTTGCCATTTGCAAAAACAAGATAAAAGAAGTTTTTGCCACCTGCAAAAACAAGACAAAAGAAGTTGATATAGAGCCTCAGTGGTGCAGTGGTTAGAGTTCAGTTCTGCAAACTACTTCTGCTGCCTGCAATTGGGCAGATTGAATCCCACCAGACTCAAGGTTGACTCAGCCTTCCATCCTTCTGAGGTGGGTAAAATGAGGACCCAGATTGTTGGGGGCCATATGCTGATTCTGTAAACTGCTTAGAGAGATAAAGTGGAGTCTAAGTGCTATTGCTATATCATGTACTGTATGTAGAGCACCTCTAGATTGTATGTGGGAGAGTGGATGGAGCACTGTACTGTTTTAAGGCAACAGCATTTTAGATTTTTAGATTTAAGTCTAAATTACAACACCTTTAGCTGTTCAATTAAATTTTGTATCTTGTCACAGAATTTTTGGAGTAAGAAAGCTTTGACTATAGTATTACTAAACAATTGCAAATCTCTGTTAATAATATTTAAGAATGAAATGCCAGTACAGGTAGTCCTTGACTTGCAACAGTTCATTTAGTGACCGTTCAAAGTTGCAGCAGCACATAAAAATTCAACTTACAACCGTTTTTCACATTTATGACCTTTGCACCATCCTCATTATCATGTGACCAAAATTCAGATGCTTGGCAATTGGTTCATATTTATGATCGTTGTCCTCGGGTTATATGATCCCCTTTTGTGACCTTCTGACAAGCAAAGTCAATAGGAAAGCCAGATTCACTTAACATCCGTGTTACTAACATCAACTGCAGTGATTCACTTAACAACTGAGGCACAAAAGGTTGTAAAATAGGGCAAAATTCACTTAACAAATGTCTCACTTAACAACAGAAATGTTGGGCTTATTTGTGGTCGTAAGTTACCTGAAGACTACCTGTACTAAGGAAATACCAGTTAATGATAATAAATGGCTAACGTGCCTTTCAATTTTTTTTTAATGCAACTTTTTAACTTTTTAAAGATTTATAAACAGTTTGGATTCAGACATTAATATCACTATGGGTGATGTAGCCTTTGGAGAGTTGAGGAATTTTTCAGTCACCAACTACACTGCTTTTCCAAGTGGATCGTAAGTATTCTTTAACATTACGATAGAACAGCTTTCCTCCAACTAGTGCTATTAGATGCGTTGGGACTTCAGTTCTCAAAACTAACAGTTGCAACTGCAATATTTCTGGAGGGTATTGGTATGGGAAAGTAAGCTGGTAAGATGAAGTTGATAGGAAATGAACATTGGTCCATAAAAAATAGGTACAATTAATGTTAATCTCACATAATAGACTAGTAAGTTTACCTGTAATAAAGTTTATAATTTAAGTTATGATCTACTGGTTGATTGACAACTGTGCTGAAGAGTTCATGTCACATTTTTCTTATCTACACTGGATTCCAAAATTATTCTTAGCCTGGGCGAGAAAATGACATCTTAAGGAGTCTAACCTTTGATTTAGATAATCATCAAGGTCTAGGCATTCTGGGTTCGCACAGTGGCAATTCCCCCAAGACATGGTGGCTGCCATTTTTCCCATCTTGGCCTGCAATGTTTCAGTGTGCATCAGACATGAGTAGGTAAAATTCCTATGAGTGTCACAGGTGAAAGAAAAATGGTTTAAAAAACAGGAGAAAGCAAATATGAAAATAATGAATAATGAAACTAATGGACCTTTGAGAAACAAGTTCCAGGACAATCAAAAGTGGGAAAAGAAAAGGGGAAAAAAGTAGGAATGGAGAGAGATAAGAACTCCTTTTTAATTTTCTTACCTATGCCCGTTACCTCTTTTCACCAATGATGAAAAGTGGTGAATCCTGAATACCAGACAAAGATTTTTTTTTAATTTTAAAAGCTTGCAAAACACATTAAAATAGTACAATAATTTACATCAGTGATGTAGTTTTACATGAGCAGGATAACATTTGAGTTGAAATAAAAGAGTTATTTGGGTTGATTTTGAGAGAAAAACGTTTCATAGAAAGAGCGAAACAAATGATGTCTGTTATTTCATTAATGGAAGATTTGAAAAGAATCCTAGATATAGGCTTACCAACATCTCCACTTTGGTAAAATACTGAAAGCAGCAGCTGAATTACAAAGAGAGTTAGGAAAAGTTCTTAGGTGTTCATTGTTTGTAGACTATTATTGCCTCAGGGATGGGATTCTACCAGTTCACACCTATTCGCTAGAACTGGTTGTTAACATTCTTAAGCACTTCGGAGAACCAGTTGTTAGAAGAAATTACTGGCCTAATCCTGTAAGGGTGGCAGGAAGGAAATATTCTGGTGTTGCTTACAGAAACGGCCTCTCCATTAACTCTTATTACATTCTTGGCAGGACTAGACTTCCTGTCTCAGGAACTTCTCTGGAGTTTTCCCCCCTCCTTTGCTAGTACTTTCCTTGTGTGGAGTGACCATTCAAAGTTACAATGGCACTGAAAAAAGTGACTTATGACCGATTTTCACACTTACGACTGTTGCAGCATCCCCACAGTCATGAGAGGCCAGGCGAGGAGATGTGTGCCTCAATGTGAGTGATATTGAGTTGGCCACGCCCAGCCAATAACATGTCCACCAAACCACGTCCACCCAGTCACATGACCACCAAGCCACGCCCACCAATTAAGCCATGCCCACAGAACTGGTTGTTAAAAAAAATGAATACAACCCCTGTGTTGCCTGCTTCGGGTTTATCATCTTTTGGCAGCAGACTGCTTGTTTTCTACCTGTTCAACCAGCCTGTTTTGTAAATTGCATGCTCTTTCTGTGATTATGTAAAAGAACTGGGCAAATTTCTATTTCTAATGAGGCACTTGGAAGAATGTTATGCTGGTTGATTACAGGTAGCAGGAACATGTTAATGATCTGTTGGGAATTGTCACAAACTATCCTAAAAAGCCTGCTACACCCATTTTACAATCAGGAATTAAAGTTTGCAAACCTACTTTGGGGTGATGCTCATAATATGAATAGGCTTTCTTTACATTTATTTTTGATATTCTTTCCAAAATTTGGGTATGATTTTAAAAAAGTTATGTTTGGAAATTATGTTATCAGTACCTAATTTTTCTTATTGCTTTTTCCAGAAACAATATTGTTGCTAAAATTGGTAATAAAGAGTGTACAATTCCATCCATGTCATTTGGTTATGGCAGTGCTTACACTATTATAGTCACAGAGGTAAGTTCTAAACTTGGTGCCTAAATTAACAAAATACCTACTACATAGCCAATCAAAGATTTAACCCCCTATAATAAAGTCTTAGTTGAATTTTTAGCATTCTCACCTTATTTTAATGATTGTTGCACTAACACAGGTGTCAAATAAAAGAGACAAGGAAAGGACTAAAGTTGTATTTTTGTTTATAGGCAGATGTGTTTTCAATGTTGTGGTTAATAATGGAAAATACAATGTAAATAAGGAGTGGGTTTTTATAATACATAAACTTTTGGTCGTCACATGAAGATGGTGTTCCTAACAGTGTGATCAAAACTTTGCTATTTTTAAATTTTGATTATGGCCACTATCTTGATGTTTTTAACTCACTCCCTGATAAGTCGGAAATCTCTCCATAGGTTTGTATGAGAACATGTTGCTCAGATACTATCTTGTTTTGGGGTTGTATTGTTTTTCTATGTTATAATTTGTGATCTGCCCAAAGAAATTGTATGGTATTCAAAATTAATTAATTAATTTGAAGAATTTTAAAAATATGGAAAACATACTGTTTTTTATGATTTTCTGGGTTCTATATGACATGACACAGGGAATATGAGATTTTTGTATAATCTTGAGAGGGCAACAGATTTTCTCTCCATGCTGCACCTTTAAAACGGGAAGGTCTGCTTAGATTGAGTGACAATATGATTATGGAAATAACTGAGTTTTTTCTACCTTTTTCTTTTATGGAAGGAAAGGAGGCTAGGTTCAGGTTAAGACTGCCTAGCTTTCAGATATATATGATACAACAATAAAAGAAATTACATTTTGGTATCTTTTTCCTTATTTTAGGAAAAGGTACTATATGAATATATTTTGCTTTCTTTCAGTGTACTGGCAAGCAACTAAACGTTACATACATTGAAGATATTCAAGCCAACACAATCAGTATGGCATGGCAAATCCCCCAGTATTTCATTATGACTTGTGCTGAAGTTGTCTTTTCAGTGACTGGACTTGAATTTTCATATTCACAGGTAACTCACTTGGCTTTATAACAGTCCTGCTGTTAGACTGTGGAACGCTGTTGACAACATAAGAATTTTTTTTAAGAAAAAAATGAATATAGGATTTCATTTGTCATGAGAAAAACCTCAGCTCAATCACAACAACCCATTTCAACATGGTTTCCTCAGAACCGGTCATCTTGAGATGGTTGAGTTTTGTTTACAATGAAGATCACAGGACCATGTTGATGCTGAAGCATTTTGCAAATTCTTAAAACTAAATATCCCTTACTAGATTTTGAAACAAGGTTTGAAACTATTGAATTGTATATCTTATTTCTGTAGGCACCTACCAACATGAAGTCTGTGCTGCAGGCTGGCTGGCTATTGACTGTGGCCTTTGGCAATATCATTGTTCTTATTATAGCTGGTGCTTCAAAACTCGAAGAACAGGTAAATGATTATTAACCAAAACAAAACTTCAGTAAACTTTACTAATCAACAAGGAATGCAGAATTAATCTCTGAGCTTTATTAGTTTTAGTGTCTTGTTTTAAGATATGCATGTATTGTACCTTGAATTGGTCTGGAAACTTATTCAATAAACTACTTATTTACTTATTAATAAAATACAGTGAAAGAAAATATATTGCATAGTATCAATAAAACAAAACCACAAATAGCATTAAGAACAAAAAAAATCAGAGCTTAAATCCTAGAAAAAATTGTTTTCATCTGGAACTAAAAAGACAATCATGTTGAGGGTGGTTGGACTTACTTGGGATGGGTATCTCAAAATACCTATCAAAAAAGACTTTCTCGATGTTGCTACACGTGAGATCCAGAAGGAAGAGAGTTTTTTTTTTAAAAAAGATAAGCTATGAATAAGGTATGGGAGGTCTACTCTTAGTATATGAAGATCTCTCCTATGCGAAACTTTATTGTTTTAGCCCATGGAACTGAATTGGCCCTGAAAACAAATAAGAAATCATAGTAGACTAACATATTATGAATATAACTTCCTGTCCGAGTTTTTTTTTTTAAAGTCTAGAAAATAGACCTGTTTTGCAATAGATTTCTAGACTGTTTTAAAGCAAATTTCATATACAATTAAAAACTCCAGTAATTAAAATGGGAGATTATAACAGCATGGACCACTGCAGGTAGACAGTCTCCTTCTAGATAGTGTCATTAAATGAAGCTGGCAAGTGATTTTTTTATATTAAAATACTCTATTTGCAAAAATGAACATTTTTTTTAAAAAAAGCTAAGCCTAATTGCTCTACTGCTGGGGAAAGCTGTAGACTAGGACATATCTCTAGGCAAGCGATTCCCTATCTTAAATCAAAGGACCAATGGTACAATCCTAGGCATGGTTGCTGAAAATTTCATCAAGGAATTTCTGTCCCCAAAGAACTAAAGTTGAAGCTTTTTCCAAATGATACTTTCCCCCGTGTTGCCCAGTAAATTTTAACCCCTTTAAAAACATTGTCACGTGTGTGACAAAGTTGTCCAGAAGTATATATGCATTGTTTGCCTTAACTGTATGTTCTGATTGAGCCTTTCTTCATAGGATGATCATGGTTTAGGGCAGGGGTGTCAAACTCAATTTCATTGAGGGCAGTATTGTGTTTGACATTGAGGGGGGACCAGGATGGGAGTTGTCAGGGTGGGTGTGGCCAGCTTGACATAACTCATGTCGGGAGTGCCTGTAGTGGCCCGAACACTCTGCCAGCAAAAACAAGCTTCCGAGCTCCATTTTCGGCTGCAACGGCCTCCTACAACCCTCTGCCAATGAAAGCAGAGCTCCATTTTCGCTGGCAGAGGCACTGCGGGCTGGTCCTTCGCGGTTTCCAGGTCAACCCCACAGGCCAGTCTCCAGATTCAGGCGGTGGATCTTGAGTTTGACATCCTTGGTTTAGGGGAATCAGGCTCTCCTGATGTTAATGCTCATAGAATAACAGAGTTGGAAGGGACCTTGGAGGTCATCTAGTGCAACCCCCTGCTCGAGCAGGAGAGTTTATTCAAAATATTAGCCTCTACTTAGGATCGAACTCACAGCCTCCTGATTGTGAGGTGAGAGCTCCACCTCTAGGCCACCTCTAGCATTACCTGAAGCCAAAGGCAGAATGGAAGTGTTGAGAGATGTCATTGAATGGTCAGAAGCTAAGAATTGTCACTGGGTCAGAATTTGCCCAAATCTGACTCATACCAGGTGGCCTGGAGGTTGTAGTATAAATATCATGGACTGAAGATCAGTGCTGTTGCTGCTAAGGACTGAGAAATTGAAGACCTCTTAATATCTGGAAATGATTAACATGTTGTAGGTGAACTTCACAAGTCTAGTGACATGAGAATGGTGTAAAATGAGTCGTGCAATGTGATATCATCCCCCAGATATGTGATTGTAAGATACTGAAGGACATTGTACAGGCATACAACTTGTAGTGCTTTAGATATAACAATGAAAGAAAAGTATGGAAAGTTTCTACTAAAGTGTAGAAAATGGAAAGGATTTCTGAGGTGATCCAAATATGACTTTAATTTTCCATATTAGTACTAGTTCCTGCAAGTACCTTGGATTCAATTGAGGTTATATTCTGAAGCCTAAAAAATAGTAATTTTCACCTCAGAAGATAAGACCCTTCTGTTCTCTAAGCCAATGTAGACATGCTTATTCATTAGCAAGACTATAATGTACAAAAATCCTGTTTATATCCTCTTTTTGTTTTTTCTCTTTTTTCACAGTGGGCAGAATATATTCTCTTTGCAGCATTGTTGTTTGCAGTTACTATAGTTTTTGCTGTTATGGCCCATTTTTACACCTATGTGGATCCAGCTGAGGTTGAAGCGCAGTTTGCAGAAGAAGACGAGAAGAAGAAAGAAAAAGATCAACTGGAGAAGAAAAAACACATATATGAAAATGAAGCTGGACCTGAGCTACAAACTAAGATGTGAAAATATGTTTGAAATCAGAATAAGAATGTAAATTAACACGCAGAACATTGCACCTGAAGCTTCAGATTCATAAGGGACAAGCTGGATAAGCTGTCTTATTGAACAGGAAAGAGTAAAGAGTATCACAAAATGAACACCCATGCCTGTGGCTGAAGATTAAGAAATCAGTTCTCCTGTGAAGAACAGAGATTTTCATTTTCTTAGTCAGCAGAAGGCTGCACTAGATAAAATCTGAATCTAGTTGCGCTTGGCCATTGTGAAAAGACATTCAGAGTATTATTTTTATACAGAACTACTTTAATTTTATATGGAAGAAGGTAAATATTCATAGCAAATAGACATTTATGTCTCCTGCTATTCATGGCCCAATGATGTTTATGTTATATATACACTTTTTCCTGGAGACCGATCTGAGCCAGCTAAATGTTTACAGTCAGGTACTGCACTAGACACTTAATTTTCTGCCAAAGGATTCTGCCAAGCCTAACTTTATACGGTTGCTGTGGTTGCGATTGGGGGGGGGGGGGGAGGAAATTGCATTGTGAGACAATCAAGGCAAGTGAAATAAAACTTGGTTCTTACCATTACAGTCCAAGCTTTCTTTTTCAGAAGAAGACGACAACCAATGTTGCTCCATCCTTGAAGAAAGAAAGATTTATCACACCAGATCACACCACACAGTAATTTAGAATGGCTTAACATTATTAAAATGGAACAACCAAACAGGAAGGAGGGGCGGGCTGATCATAGAAATACTGCCATATTTCCAGGCTTTAGTTTTATCATTCTGAACGGGGAATCTCCAGAACTTTTTCCTTTGTACAATTCAAATGTGAATGTTGAGTGTGGCTGCCTTAGCAAGAACTTGTGATAAATACATAAAGCTTCCCGAAGTCATCAGATGTGAGTTGGACCGCCATAAAAGTCTGTTTAATAAGTATATATCTGTATAGGTAGTCCTTATAACCAAAATTACATAAATTGCAGCTCCCCCTGTGGTCACATGATTAAGACCTGAGCATTTGGCAACCCATTCTTACAATAGGTTGCCAGTGCCTAACAATCATGTAAATGCCATTTACAATCTTCCCCAGAAAGTGAATGGACGAAGTTGGCATGGAAGGTCAACAGCTATCTGCAAAGAGGACTTCCTCTTGTCTCTGAGGACTGGCTGAAAAGGGCCCATGCCAAAATTCAAGTAGAATTTTTAGATTCTGGGCATCACAAAAAGTGGATGCTATACATCTCTCATCTTCCCAGATCTTGATGCAGATGTAATTATAAGCTTTATATATTTTATACATTAGTAATGGCATGGTGTTAAGTCCAAGATATTAATATTTTTTTTCATTAGCTACCAAATCTGGACTGCAAAAATTCAGATGACTACTAGATGGAAGTAGAGTTAACTTTTCTTATCTCCTGCTATCATCTTTTAGACGTCATCCAGAAATGATCCAAGAAATGATCCAAGAATAACCAGATAGAACACATCAGAATGACCAGGTTATTTAGTAAAGAATGGAAATAACAGTTCCTGGTGAATACTGTATCTGCGCAGTGGAGGCACTACAGAATAATGGGTTCCCTCATTTCAATTATTCCTCTACCATGTGGACACAGTCTCTGTTCAAAGGGGATCTTCTCATATTTTCCTTCAGTAACAGTTGTTCAGAGGGCATTGAATCTGGCCAAAGATAAACCCTCCTGAATTTTTATATGGCTTGTTATATGGCTAAGATGTCTAGCTGGTTGGAGAAGATATGCAGAATGGTAGAATTGGAAAGTCCACTGTTTGAGATCAGCTAGTGCATGTTCCTAGCCCATCAGAATAATGGCTGCCCATAAAAAGGACGTTCCTTGCTATCAAACAACTTACGTCCTTGTTTTGCAGTAAGTTAAGTGTCTCATGACATGATTTTCACTATGACAACTGTTTTGTGTGGATTGGCAAGCAATCTTCTCTAGTGGCAACCATTTGGCAAATGCATGCATGACATACCTCTTAAAATTTCAAGTATTCCCACTGTTCTAAACAACTTGGGGATGGCTTTATAAATGTATGTCCCAGCTAGTGGATATTCTCTCTTTTCCAGGTCTACTCATCCCTCCTTCACCCTTTTCTGTCTAATTAAATATATATACCCAGCTCCACCACATCATTATCTGCTCATTTGCAAAGTATCTCAAAGGCCCTTTAAACTCAATGCATGCCTTTCTCCACTTTGTCCTCACCACTCAGGGACCTCAAACATGTTTAGAATTATCCTGAGCAATCAGGGAGCACCATTACACAATGCTGCAGATGGAAGAAAGGCTTTGCTTCATTCTTGGTGAGTGGATCAGTCAGCTGATACACTGTCAATCTTCGTTTTTGTCTTTTAATTAACACACAAAGCAGTCTTTTCTCAAGTTGGACTATAGGACAGGCATCCAGGGCATCTACACAACCTAGGATGACCTTCTGTAATCCATTTATGGAATAGGGTGAAAGAAAAATATTTTCTTCTGCCAGAGAAGCAGAGGATTAGTGATTTTGCAGTAGGTATGTATCGTGGCTAGTGCCCAGTACGGTTAGTAGTATTTTCAAATGGCTGGAGATAGGTCCAAAAAGTTTCTATATAGTCCTCAACAGGCAATGAATGAGTAGTTCAGAAGAATTCAAGAAGTACCCTGATTTTAATTGATTCCACTACTTTATCGAATTGTTGGATTATGTAGTTTCTAATCCTTGGAACCTCAGGTGTCTTTTTCTGTTTGTTTTAAATCTTATACTCTGTTCTTATATTTCTCCAAGTCTATTCTATATTCAAGCTCAAATGATTGCACTTGGACAATTTAGGAGAAGATCTAGATCTCTTGAAAAGGCTGTAATGATGGGAAAGCTGGAAAAAGTAGAAGAGGACAACAAGCAATAGGGTAGGTAGATGGACTCGGTTTACAAGAGTGATGGGTGCCCCATTAAAAAGCCTGAAAGACCATGCTAGGATCAGATTGCCATGGAGGAAGTCTATATATGTGGTTGCTAAGAAGTGACAATGACTTGATGGCACATCATCTACCTTGTTTCACCAAAAATACAACCTACCCTGAAAGTAAGTGCTAGCTTGATTTTTACATATGCGCCCAATATAAGCCCTACCCCCCAAAATAAGCCCTAATTTAAGATCTTACCCACTCCAGAATGCACGGGTAAAAATTAAGCTAGGGTGGGGATGTGGCGGGATGGAGTTGCCCTACTGTTTACCTTTGGACAGTTGTAGCCAGGCCTCGCATACCCCGACACCTGCCTTGCCGGCCCATTTCTTCTGCAGCCAGCAAGGCTGGCAAGGCTTTCCTGAACGCCTCTATAGCTGATCACAAAGCTCCAGATCGATCCAGAGCTCTGTTATCGGCTGCAGAGGCCTTTAGGAAAGCCTTGCCGGCCGCAGTAGTAATTCCTGAAGGCCTCTGACAGCAAAAAAAGAGGCTGGGGGCAACGCACACAAGTGAGGTTAGTCAGTGGATGACATCTCTCCCAAAATAAGACCTGGTGCCTTTTTATAAATAAAAAAACAGGGTCTTATTTTTGGGGAAATGCGATATTTACTGCTAAAACTCTTATCTGTAATCTTTAACTGGGCAAACCGATGCATCACAGGGTGAAACCTTTTCAACGAAGGTCTCAAATGGGCTAAACTTATAGAAAGGATCCAAAATCCAAAACCCATGACTCTCCCTGGAATTGAACTTTGGCAAATCTTATAAAACATTTTCTGTGGCCAACTCATGACGTTTCACTAAGCTATACTGTTCGCTGTGGGCTACTTTCAAGGCAGATTCATCTCTGAGTATGCCCCTGAATTTTTGAGATTTGAGTGTTCTCCAGTACATTAGCTTTGTCATTGTTGAAGGAATTGAGGACTCTGGTAAGGCCGGGGTCTCCAACCTCTGGGCCACAGTCCACTACCAGGCCTTGAGCTGTTTGGAACCGGGCCATGGAATTAGTGGATGAGTGCACACTAGCATGAGCAGAGTGTGTGTGTGCCCGTGCTCTATTTGCGGGCGCATGTGGGCGCATGTGCCCGCCACTCATGCAAATGGAGCTGCACAATGTGCTTGTTCACCATTCATGTGGAACCATCCCCTTTATCTACCTGGGCTACAAAGTTGGGGAACTTTGGTAAAGGAATATCTCTGAAACAACGATCCAATAGATCAGAGGTGGCCAACCTTTTGGACCTCAGGCACCACCAAACTCATAATTTTAAATCCCAGGGACCACTAATATGAATTTTGACTGACGTTGGCTTGCTGATGTTGGTGGGAGAGAGAGAGGGGGAGAGAGAGAGAGAGAAATGATCTAACTTTTTTCTCTCTCTCATATACACACACAAACACATAGAGGCAGGGGTGGGATTCAAATTTCTTAACAACCGGTTAAAAATACCCAAAATCAGGCAAAGCAGGCAGGCAAATTGAGTTGCTCACAGGATCAGATTCAGCAATCTTTCTGCCATCAGCTACCTGAATCTGTCACATAAAATTTGCTTGCACTCACAAAATTAACTCACAGCACACCTTGTATGTAAATATTGAATTTTTTATTAAAAAAAAGCAACTTTTACCCAAAATTAGGCAAAGCAGGCAGGCAGATTGAGTTGCTCACAGAATCAGATTCACTTAGAGATCTGTGTTTCCGCCATCGGCTATCTGAGTCTGCACTGAATAATAGAATAATAGAATAGAGCCTTCAGTCCTAAGGGAGGTTTGGCTCTGCTTAAAAGCAGAGCCGAATATCTAAAGATTAGCTAGAAAGCAAGAAATTTCCTGCTTTCTAGCTAATCTAAACCTCCCGGCAAAGCAGAACAGCTGATGGTCAGGGAAAAAAAAAAAAGGAAAAATAGCAATTTAGCAGGCAAGTTTGCCAGGTAAGGAGTGGGCGGGGTGGGTTCCCGCGGGCCATGTGGGCAGGGCAGCCTTGTGTTCCCACGCAGCCTGAATTAATTGCTTTGAGGGGCTTCACCCTTGATTTTCCAGCACCCTAGATTTCTTTCATTTTTTTTACAATAAAAACTTTCTCAAACAGGATAAATCACGTACTTAATAATGAAGACAGATCCAAACAAAACTGAGGTGCTTAACAGTGAATTTAGCTTATTTCAGGATCTTCCCTTTATCCCAAGGCAACCTGGAAATTGGACTTCTCTATCCATCTAATTCTGCTATGAAGTAAAAAAGAGAGCAAACTGGAAATTTTTGTTTGTATTTTAAAGAGCAAAAAAATACAAACACGTCAGAAGTTAACTATCACAGGTTATTTGAGAAAGGGACTGCAGTAACATATAGGTACATCGCAACTCACAATAGTTCATTTAATGACGGTTCAA